ATCAGATTAATAACAAATGCAGGATATTTGGATCACATAAATTATCTTTTTATTAAAACGCAGACAATAAAGTTCCAGGACTTGGTTAAATACAAAACAGCACAAATAATGTATAAAGTAAGAAATAAATTAATGCCTGATAAAATACAGAAACTGTTCACAGAGAGAGAAGGAGGATATAACCTGAGAGGGACACTAATCTTAAAGATACATAAGTTTAGAACAACATTAAAACAGAAGTGCATCACAATAATAGGGGTTAAATTATGGAACAATTTAGAAGAAGAAATCAAAGTAAGTACAAATATAAATGTGTTTAAAATGAATTATAAAAAACATATTCTGAACAAGTATATAGTGGAAAATAGATGATTTATGTGGGTGTCCTTTATTCCAAGGAAAAGTAAATTGTATCAATTGTAAAAAGATGTTTTTTTTCTTTTTTTGTTTTTTTCCATATAATTTGGTGGTTTTTGGTGACTTGTACCATTTTGTTGTTTTAATGTAGGTTTTGTGTTTGATTTAGTAAACAAGTAAAAATTACTTGTATAAAGGGGTAGGGATATATAAGTTTCCACTTCAGCCTACTCCTTTTAAAAAACAGAAGAGGGATGATATGTATTTTTTCTGTTTGTGGTATTTTTTAAAAATTATGTATGTTTTCTTTGTTTGAAATAAACTAAACTAATAAAATAAATGGACTACAGTAGGCAGGCTGCATTTTTAACCCTAACCCTAACCCTAACCCACCCTTTCTAGGTCTAGAGGCTCCTGCTGTAAGACCATCTTGGGCTCATCTCTGGCTGGCTGCTGTTCTTCCAGCTCGTTCTTCTGTGACGGCACTGATGTTGACGGCGTTGGTGCTACAGCGTCTTCCGCCGCATTTCCCGCTGCGTCTTCCACAGCGTCTTCGGGCCGTGTCTCCGGGTCTGGCTCGGGCCCGGCCTCTGCTCTGCTGACTCGAGCAGGTTCACAGCTGTCGGATGGCTGCCCGAGCAGCCCGGCAGAAACTTCTGTAAAGCCCCCCCCCCCCCCCCCCCCCCCGCTGTCTCTTCTTTTGTTCCTCTTCCTTTTTTTCTTTTTACGTTTTGCCGCACCCGAAAGCATCGTGAAAGTTAGCCTACTCAAAAACACCTGCTAGCTTTGTTGTGTCCCGCTCTGACTCTGACCGCTTCTCTGACATCCTTAATTGGGTGGTGCCCAAGTTGTAGGCTACAGTCATGGGCTGGCGTTAATGTGACGTAGCTAATGTAACAGTATATGGTTAAGATAAACATAGTCACTATTTTTGTTAATTAATAAATATTGAAATAAATTGTAGATAGGAGCCCTGTCTACAAATTCTATCATAGGACATTTGTACATTTTATTTTTAATTTATTTATTTTTAATTTTGTCCATCTGTCTGGGCCCCATCCAGCCAATCAGGTCCTAGGCACGTGCCTACTTTGCCTTTGCGTTAATCTGGCTCTGGGCCTGTGATTGGCACTTTCTAAGCTAAACTATTTGAATCCCTTTTTGATGGTTTTTAAATTAACATCAATGCTATTCCAGCAAAATACATGTAATATATTTCTGATTTGATTTAAGAAAAAAAAACCTCATTGATTAAATCAGAATTTATGCTTTTCTTGATGGGTTTCAATATTATTTTAAAATTGACATGCTACACACAGGTATACCTATGGTATTCATATTATTATGCCTAAAAGTCGCTGCAAGATCAGATTTGGCTTTTTATTTACTCAAGAAGAAGTTAAACATTGTCAGTCAGCTAAAGTTCACAGACTGCCTGGTATACGTCTGTAGGGTTTGGTAAATTTAGTGCTTTAAGAGCTCAATAATTATATTACCTCTACTTAGGACCAACAAGCTGTGATACTCAATGTAAATATAGAATATCAACCTGCTTGGTCTTTATTGTGTTTTAATCAGAAGATTCTAGGATTCTTTGTTTATTAAGGGATTGTACACACTTCGTTTTGATTCAGGAAAGAGTCAGGTTTATAAAAGTAAGAATTTATTTTACAAACAATTAAAACATGACAAGTTAACTAACATTTACTGTGATGGATGGAACTAGATGTGATGTATGAAACCTATGTGTGAATGCGATGTTAGTTAGAACTTTCGTATCTAGGAGAGCTGAGTTCTGGATGTTAAAGAATTTGGTTTGCGTAAAGCTATGAAGCTGATTATTATCAAAAAACACATCAGACACAATCTGTCATGTCTGCGTACCCACTCGAAGACCCTCGTGATAGATCCGGAATGTCGAAGTCCTCGGACTTCCAGGCACCGAGGTCCATAGAAGAAACTGCGGCACTTCTAGGCCGGTCTTAGAGTTGCCCCAGGTCACAACAGATGGATGGAACCGTGCGGCTGGGACTCTTAAGGAGTCGAAACAATATCAGCTTGTTTTGCAGGAACTGTTTGCTGTATCAGCTTCTCAGGTGCAAAAAGATTTTGACAATGTGTCAAAATCTTTGATGGATTAGAGAGGGTTGCTTCAGATGGCCGGTCAGAAGCTTTCTCAAGAACTGATGAATCACCAGAGTGATCCAGTTTTAATGTTCTCATGTTATGATTTGTGTAGCCAACCAGAGGTTGACAAGTTGAGGAATATTACCAAGACAACCTCAGAAACACGCCTTCCTTAATACCAATGCTCTGATCTGGGGCAAAGGGCTATCTATGTGCCACGCGTTTAACTTAACTTTACTTTGTCCTTGTGTGAGTGCAAATGGTGATGACCTTGTCATCAACATGCTGAAACATATATCAATCACAGTAATCATAACATAACATTCACTTCAAACTTCAATCATTGAGCAGAGATTAATGAAAACATTTCATTATATTATAATTATTATAAGTAGCAATAAACCAACTTTTATTTAATGATTATTTAACTTATAAGTTTTAGAAATTCATATTTAATTTAAGAAATAATTCTTTGATTTAGCAACTAATCCGAGCTGCGAGTGTTCCTTATTTGGAGGCATGAAGAATCCTGTAGGACGATAAGGGAAGCTGGACCTTGAGGAGAGAACATCATTTGACAATTCGTTATCATATGTTCAGAGCTGCAGAGAGGCTCTGAGCTCCAGCTGATGGGATGAAGGCGGGCAGATTTAAAGGGAACACATGCAGTCTCGTGTCTCCATTTTGACCAGATGTTGAAGGGTCAAACTGTACCTAAAAACTGACCATTGCTGGACGTTACACGTCTCCCCCTATTTCCTGTAAGAGACTTTGTCTCCATGGTTGAATCGTGTGTTAGAGCTGTTCCCATGTCTCCTAAAACAATGTGCTCCAGCTGGCTGGACAAGAATGACTAGAATGACCACAACATAGCACCAGGAGAGCAGCGGGTGTGTTTCACACAAAGCTTTGCTGTGATTTACTGGAAGCTTCTTTCACAAATCTAATGTAATCAAATGGGCTGGACATTATGGGAAATACTATTGTGATTATTATCTACCAAAATAAACTACAGCATGTAATTTAGTTTTGGGGATGAATGCATGCATGATCTAACTTTAGTGCATTAAAATTAGATTTTCGGGTAGATGTAAACACCTCAAAACTGAGCCATTAAAGCCGCAGTAGTGGATCTGCGATGTTAAACACAAGGAACATTCACCTCTCCCCTCGGGTATCTTCCCTGAGACGCTTCTGCTGGAACTGGAAACCCACAATTTCAGATGCAACGAGATAGTGTTGAACACCAGTCCCCGATTTCTACGTCCAAACATCTTTCATTGCCTGTTACTTTGGCGTTTTTGTTTAAGGGACTCTGGTAGTTTGTCCTAAAGTTGAAGTGGTAGCAGTTGGCTTTACTAAATTTGCCATTGTAGCCTCAACCAGATTGTTTTGGTTTTAACCCTCTGGAAGCAGGCGTTGCAGCAGTTAAAACCTACCTACCAAGTTACTCCACATACGTATGTCATGAGCATTTTTAAACTCAGAAGTACCCATGAAGCAATAGATATAACCTATTTATCTAATTAGGACTACACGTTGAATGTTTTATTTTCAGTACTAAGTAGGAATGTCAGACATTGTCAGCCTACTCATATCATCAGAGGATTTTGGCATTAAGTAAGATGATCGGCGCTGGTTTTTACTATTGTTAATGAAAGAACCTTTACATACCGTACCACTCTTCACCTAGCTTCCTCTCACTCAAAAGCTCCAAATATGAATGATTCAAAGTATCGTTGTTGAGAAATGTTTGTTTGTTTGGCACAACTGGCCTAACTCAAGTTGTCATATTTTCCACCAATGGTTATAATAAGGTAACCTAAAAAATATTTAGTGTGTGTGTGTGTGTGTGTGTGTGTGTGTGTGTGTGTGTGTGTGTGTGTGTGTGTCACATATTAGTACTGGTTAATATCTGTATCAGAATTTAAGAGTGAGATTATTGGTATTTTGGATATTAGGAAAAATAGAACAATATTGAAATCCCTGGTACTAACTGTACAAGGTTTAGTTTGTGCACAGTTTAAAAAGAAAATGATATGTCTCAGTTACTTGCTACACAGTGGTAGTTATTTAAGCAACAGAAATGTAAAAAATAATTTTCAGTAATTTAGAATATTGCACTTTTTATTCATTTTAGCAAAAATAAGTACAATAACAGAATGAAAAAAGGAAATTAATTTGGAATTGTACTTTGTTCATCATTATTTACCTAGTCTAATTTATAAAGTGACTGGAATAGTTATTTATGTAAATCTGCTGTCCATGTTGATGCTAGACATACAAATAGGTTTGTCCTCCTTCATCTGTGTGGTGGATATAATCTTTCCTTTTCGGTCTATAGGCCAGTGCTTATGAAGCATCAGGATGCTCAGACAGATCAGTTTCCTTCTCTTCCATGAAACAGCCACATCAGGTCATTGAGGCCATTGCCTCACCTCACTTGGCATAGCAGCCCTATGGGCATGAGGAGTGCCAGGTCGCGCATGCGCAGTGTGGATGTCAGCGGGTTGGTAGGGCTTGTGTTTACAGCTCGGCTGGATGTTGTTGGCTGTTGATGATCCTGGGAAAGTGCAATGCTGTGCCAAACGCCAATGGAATAAAAACCACTGTGGGGCTAAAAGTAAGTCTGTTCACACTTGCACACGTGTCTGTTCAACCTTAAAAGCGACTGCCACTTCAGTTAGGAGGGAATACGAGTGTTGGTTGGAACTGTCAGGTTAGCTTTGCTAGCAGGCGTTAGCTTAAGCAGCCATAATAAACTAATGGCCTGTAATCAAGGCTCTGACCAAGCTAGCGGGTTCATTCAGTATTTTTTCCTGCGAACACCTTAGCGGAGCAGTGTAAATAAACGACGTAACTTTAGCGGAGACGCTTGGCTAAATAGTCATTGTGCAGTGAAACCGATTAGTCGGACTTTAAATTGAAGTTGCTTTCTTAGCTAACGTTGAGCAGATAGGTGATGGCTGACTGACTGACTGAGGCGACAAGTTAACAGCAGAGCCGGGGAGGCTCGAGTCGCCCTATGTGTTTTCCAGAGAAACTAGTTCAGTTATCTAGTGAGCAGCGATCAGGCCTTTTGGCTACTGAGCTAGCATGTTAGTTCCTTGTTTCAGGGGTTTACTAAAAGCAAGTCTCGTGTTCTGTTTAATGTCAGCCTACAGTGTGCAGACAAGCTGGACACTGTTTATATCACACTGCCATGTTGTACGATCTACATATATTGCTTCAGTAATGCTTTGTAAGCCTAAGCTAATTTAATCAACAGCATGGTTTTGATTGTTATCAGGAGCTGATTGTCTGACTTTATCTTTATTTAAAGTAAGTTCACACAGCCCCGTTTTTGCAGAAAACAATTTAACATAACAAAGAACTTGATCTGGCTTTGAAGGTTTGATCTGAATTAGCATCACACCTTTCTGCTAAATTAACACATTTCAAAAAATCATCATTAAGACCAAGTGAATACTGTTTTTGTTCTCATGAATGAAACCCAGAGAGAAATACACATTTAAACAGAACTTTGTTGCCACCCTTAAATAAGTTTTTGTCTGCATTGTCTGTGCACATAATTTAAATATTTTATTTTGGTCACTGTTTATGTTTCAGTTAGTCTTTCAGTAAAACCTTCAGGCAATCTGATGTTGTGATAAGCTGTCACACAGTGCTTGTAATGCCCAAGCCTATTGTTCCTGTAAAGCAAAATGAACATTTCCTGTCATTGCATAACACAGATATGACAGCTGTGAGCCAGAGGTAAAATATTGCCACATAGGTTTACTCAGCTGTATTTCTCCTGCTTATTGTAGTTGATACACATGGTCCATGCACAAGATACACACAACCTATATTGGTCTGCAAATATCCTTCATATTATTGTCAATTATTGGTGTTTCACATAAATTTAAAGCACAAACTTACTGCAGTTTAGCAGCTTAATAACTTTATCTTTAATTGCAAGTGTTTAAATTGCCAATTACTTTGCCAGAATTAAAATGTTGAGCTGTGTACTTTGCTGTCCATCTACTAGTGTGAAATTCCCTGGACACACTCCCAACTCCAGCTCCCTGGCCTGCAGCCAGGGATGGTCGTCTTTGTTCTGGGTCTGCAGCCTCAGTGTGCTTGGCGTCACCTGGTGCCAGTTCTAAATAGAAAGCTTAAAACTGGTCTCCCACAGAACCCAAAGGCTGAGTTTCCTGTAGGACACCATATATGAGCTAACTGATATACAGTTTAAGAAGTAAAATACTGTGACCTGTATCCATTAGAGTTAAAGGTTTGGGAAACACTGATGGATGCTATTTAAGCCTAATAACAAAACATTAGAAATATAATAGTTGTTTTAGCTATTTTAATTTCTCCCTGTTTGTGACCTCACTATCGGGGACTTATTTTAAACGACTCGATTCAGGCACACAGTTCCTAAAACCAAACACTGAGAGAAAACACATGTACAAGAATTTCTCCCCACATTTAGTGTTTATAGTGGCAGTTGAGACCCACATGGCAACACAAAAGGATGCAAAAGATGAGTTTTGCATACCCCTTTCAATATAACTTGGTGACCCTGCCTAAGAAAATTAAGAAAGAAACATGTTGCTTCTTTATCAAAAGTTGCAGTAAAATGTGGTACTGAATGGAATGAAAAAAATATAAATGTTTCACTTGAAACGTTGTCAAATAGAATATTCGATTGATCGATGGAGGATTTGATAGAATATTCCAATATTAAAATATTCAATAGCTGCAGCCCTAAATTCTGCTGTTGTGTCCTTTGGCTAGACACCTAACCCACCTCGCCTGCTGGTGGTGGTCGGAGGGACTGGTGACGCCTGTGCTCAGCAGCCTCGCCTCTGTCAGTGCGCGCCAGGGAAGCTGTGGCCACATTGTAGCTCATCACCATCAGTGTGTGAATGTGTGTGTGAATGGATGAGTGACACACTGTAGTGGAAAGCGCTTTGGAGTCCTTTGATTCTGAAAGGCGCTATGTAAGTGCGGGTCATTGGCAGGAAGGATCTCCAGTAGCGGTCAGTGTTGCAGCGAAACTGAAGAAGCCTCTGACTGAAGACACTCCCGTTGTCAGACAGTCTTGTGAAGAGAATGCTCAGGGTTTTCCATAATTTTCTTGATTCTCTGGAGAATCCTTCTTTGCATTATCTCCTCCAGTGGTTCCACAGTCGTCCCCAGAACTGAACCAGCCTTTTTTATTAGGCTGTTGAGCCTTTTCAGGTCCCTGCTTCCAATGCTACTACCCCAACAGACGATGGCTGAAGAGATTACACTCTCAACAATAGACTTGTAGAAGATCTGCAGCATCTTGCTACAGACATTGAAGGACTCAGTGCAGTCTGCTGTGTCCCTTCTTGTAAACGGCTTCGCTGTTCTTTCTCCAGTTCAGTCTGTTGTCCAGATGAACTCCAAGGTATTTGTATTCCTCAACCACCTCCACTTCTTCTCCCATGATGGAAACAGTGTTTGACTCTACCCTGTTTCTTCTGAAGTCTAAAATCATCTCCTTTGTTTTGTTCACGTTCAAGGTCAGATGATTGTTTCCACACCATGCCACAAAGCACTCCACCAGCTCTCTGTGCTCAGCTTCCTGTCCATCTCTGATATTCCCGACAACTGCAGTCATCTGAGTATTTCTGTAGTAGTAGTATTTCGGTCTCTGATTTGTACTGGAAGTCTGAGGTGTACAGGGTGAAAAGGAATGGTGAGAGTACAGTCCCCTGTGGTGCTCTAATGTTACTGATCGCCTGGTTTGATGTGCAGTTCTTCAGCCTCACAAATTGTGGTCTGTTTGTCAGGTAGTCTTTGATCCAGGCGATAGTTGAGCCCCCCACCTGTGTCTTCTGGAGTTTCTGGCAAAGTACATCAGGCTGGATTGTGTTAAATGCACTGGAGAAATGAAAGAACATGACCCTCACAGTGCTGCCTGCTTTGTCCAGATGACAGTGGATTGGTTGAAGCAGCTGGACGATGGCATCTTCAACTCCAACTCCATGGCGATAAGCAAACTGCAGCGGGTCCTGTTATGTTCTAGTTTGCTTATTCAGGTGGACCAAAAGGAGTCTCTCCAGGACCTTCATGATGTGGGATATCAGGGCAACCGGTCTGTAGTCGTCATTGACTGATGGGCGAGTTTTCTTTGGAACTGGAACAAGGCAGGATGTCATCCACAGGACTGGAACCTTCTCCTGGGCCAGGCTGAGGTTGAAGAGGTGCTGCAGAATCCCACAGAGCTTCTCTGCACAGGCCTTCAGTACTATGGGGCTGACACCATCTGGATCTGCAGCCTTGTTCCTGTTCAGTCTCTCCAGCTGCCTCTTCTTTGACTTCTAGAGACAGATAGGTGGGAGGGGGAGGTAAATGGGGCAGCAGCATCTCCTGACTTGGTTGAAGACAGATTTATAGAACCAGATGAGTCCATGACTGTGTTAGAGGACAAAAGAGCTAGCGTGTGACAGGAAAATGTTGGATCAGTGGAGGGTGGGATATCTGATTGGCTGGGGACAGGCGAGGAGGATGCTGGGTTTGTTCCTGAACTGAACCTATTGAAGAACTTGTTCAGTTCATTGGCTGTGTCCAGGCTGCCATCTGTGCAATCCTTCCTCTGCTTGAAGCCTGTGATCTTCTTCATCCCTGACCAGACATCTCTGATATAGTTCTTCTGTAGTTTGTTCTCCAGCTTCTTCCTGTATGCCTCCTTGCTGTCCCTGATCTTGATCTTCAGTTGCTTCTGTATAGTCCTCTATAGAGCTCCGGGAGTTGACGTCACTTCTCCCGGCATGCAACAGTTCAAATCGAAACAGCGCCATCTTGGCAGGCAGAAGCCCGCAGCTGGGTTATTTGTTATTGTCAGAAAACTCCATCAAACAGGAAATATGGTAGATTCCTGTTGTGCCCCAGGATGCAGAACAGACGCGGACGACATAAGGAATGAGCCATCTACAGCATTTCCCAAGATCCGGAACGCTGCAAACGTTGGATCATTGCAATGAAACACGCTAGTGACCGGGCTAAAATGAAACTGTGGGATCCAGAGAGTAAAGATTTTCGCTTATGCAGCGACCACTTCATATCAGTTACTTAAACCAACGTTTCCTCAACTGTGTATGGTATTTATTTTAAATGCTTTTATTACGATTCTTAGTGGGCTTCCTAAACTTATTTTGGTGGCTTTTTCTGTTTTATTACTCATAGCAACAAGTAAACATCATGTAGAATGTTGCCTCGTGATTTCTGCGTGCTGCCATTTACGTGTCTTATGATCACAGCAATTAACCGGCTAAGCTGTATTTAATTTTTAAGCAGTGGTTGATCAATTGTCAGATCACACATAAAAAGCACTTTGGATTGCTATTATCTGTCTCATCGAGACAGATCTCAGACAGATCCTGAGACGCTCCTGCCTGACATATTTATTTTATTCATGGAAAAAAATTAGACTAGTGATTTCTCTTGGCGTTCAGTTTATACTTTCAAACAGCACAGCACTCTGTTTAAACTTCTTACATGTAAATCTATGTTATTTGTCCATCCATCCATCCATTTTCATCTGCTTATCCGGAGTCCGGTCGCGGGGGCAGTAGCCTAAGTCAAGAGGCTCAGACTTCCCTCTCC